TTCAGAAGCTCCACAACATCCCGCGCGCCCCCTCTGGCCAAGCTTGTGGAGCTTCTGAAAACCAGAAAAACCAACAACAACCTGTGACTAGACAGGTTTCGTGGCTTCCCTAACCCAAAAAAACCCAACAATCATGTGACTAGCATGGTTTGGCTGCGAATGCTCCTCCTTATCCCCCTCCTCCTGTCCCCTCCCCCCCCGTTTCCTCTTCCGAATCCTCCTCCTCCCCCCCATCCTCCGCTCTCTCCTGCTCCTCCTCCTCAAACTCCTTCCTCCCTCCTCCTCCTCCCCCCTCTCCTCCTCCCCCATCCTCCTCCTGCTCCTCCTCCTCCTCCTCCTCCTCCCACTCCACCTCTTTATACATCTGCTGATCATCCCCATCACCCTCGGCCCCCGCCCCCTTGTTATCATCATTGTCATGTCGCCGCACTGGCCCCCCTTTCAAGTGCCCCTCCTCATCTAGGGAAGGGAGCGCGTGAAGTCAAAGTGATCAGCCAACCATCGTGTGGGCAGTCGGCCACGATGGCGATCGACGAAGATTTCTGTTGCGACGACGGCGAGGGCGATGGCGAGGACGACGACGAGGGCGGTAGCCGCATTGCCCATTAACTGATTTTCATACGCGGCTGTGAAGGCTGATCTGGTTCGAATCAAAACAGGGCCGGGCAGGTTAATCAACTATCCACGGGTACAGTCGAAACATGGCCACAAGAACGTAGATCAAACACACAAGCCCCTTCGCCGAATGGTAATGACGCCATCAGCGAATAAGCTCCTCCCCATCTTCCTCCTCCGCATAATCCTCCACATCCTCCTCCGCATCCTCCTCCGGCTCCTCCTCCCTCCTTATCCTCATCATCCACATCATCATCATCCCCCTCCGCATCGTCCACCTCCTCATTCTCATGTTGCTCATCATCATCATCGTCCGCATCATTATTGCCATATTCCGCATCATCATCATCATCATCATCATCATCATCATTATCACCACCACCATCATCATCATCGTCACCCTCATCGTCATCGTCATCATCATCATCATCATCATCCCCCTCCTCCTCATCATCATCATCATCCTCATCCTCATCATCATCCGCATCCTCCGCATTATCCGCCCCCTCCGCCTTATCATCATCCCCGTTTTCCTCCTCCTCCTCATCATCATCATCCTCATCGTCAGCATCACCCTCCTCTTCCGCATCCTGATCCTCATGATCATGCAGATGAGGATGAGGGGAAGTGCGATGGGGATGATGATGGGGATGACGGGCCCTGGGGGGGGGGGTGGGGGGGGGCTGAGCATGTATGTGTGTGTATGTATACATTCAATGTATAGATATACATATGTATATTTACATATATATATATATATATATGTATGTATATCTATACACATGTATATCACCAAACATGCCCCCCCAATTGTAAAAAACCATCGTCCTCGTATCATTTTTTGGTTCTTTTGGAATGCTCCTCCTGAAGAGGGACGCGCCCGACTTGAGCCAGGCAGCCCCTGGCACTTTTCCGCGCCTCGGCGTGCCGCAGGCGCGGTGGTGGACAGGGTTGCAGCTCCCAGGGGGTTGCCTGCAGCTTCGGCGCTGGCGCATCCGCTGTCGCACACCAGCTTCGTCCGGTCTGCAGTGTTCGGCCTGGCCTAAGGAGCGATAGATCAGGAGCCCCTTTTTGTTCCAAGTAAGTCTGGGAAGTCCGAAGGAACACTAGGTGGGTTCGCCGCCAAAAGGGTAGCGGAACGCATGCAAACCAAGGGAATGACCGAGCCCCTTTTTGACAAGTAAGTGTTCCTTATTCAAGCCGGACCCTGTATCGGTGGCGAGCGAGGGGGGGAGCTGAGAAGGAGGAGGCCTTCTCAGAAGGCGGCGGGGCTTCTCAGAAGCCCCCTCGCGCGTTTTGTCTGTCGTCGAGGAAGGCTTAGACAGCGTCTCAGAAGGCCAGGGGACTTCCGAGCCTTCTGAGAAGGCCTTCTCTTTCTCAATCATCCCCTTCGCAAGCCGCCGAGTATAATCCTGCTTACTCCCGCAACGCCCTGTTCAATCTGGCTCAGCCTTGCTCAACCCCGGGCTCAATCCGGCCTGATTCGGCCCCGTGGCCCTATTTCATGCGGCTCAATGCTTGAACAGGTCTTACGGACACCTCCCAGGAGTTGTTCCCAAATGCTTGTCTTCCTGCTTTGACTGCCCAAGGCGAGCCGCGGGCTCATGCTGCGCTGCCGATACGTGCCAACAGTTCCGCAAAGCGGGGCGCGGCCGAGGATCGAGTAGGGGCGGCTACAGAATTGCCTTTGCCCAGAATTGATATTTTCATCGAGTGTACGAAGAATACGTTGACCGCTCGTAGATCATTCCACGTATTTTTTAGCAACTTCGACGAGAAAATCAATTTTGGGGTACAGTGGAGACTTATGCTAAGAATCACCCTGCTTGCCTCCAGGCTGCCCTTGGTTTCTTGGGTCTCGATGACACTGTCATGGAAAGAGTGA